GAAAAAAAATCAAACAACAAAAGCAAAAAACACAAATTAAATCTCGACCCTTTATCCGGCGTCAAGGAGAGGGGACTTCCTACAGGGACACACATAGACTGATTGTGGCTGTGTGTTGCTCACATAAGCTACTCAATTTCGCACCGTGCATGAAGGAGACCTGTCATGTTTTTTTGGTGTTTGGGGTCAAGGCTGGTTAATTTTTTCTTCTCCCACTCCATGTTCTGTCGAGAAGCGTTCGTTTGGTTTTGTGTCTGTTTTGTTCTTTGGCCGTGGTGCTGTGTTTGGCTCGTTCATGCAAGTTCCAGAAAGATTCAAACAACAAACACTCAAAGCAGAGAGCGCATGAAAAAAACAGACAGATGAGTGGAACTAGGCTCATTGCACTTGGACGGAGCACCTTTTTGCGCAGCAACGTGAGTGGGCGAGCGCTCAATCCGCGGGCATCGCCATGTTGAATCACTGTAGTATATAGGAATGGCAGCCAAGGTGCGAGCCAGTTGATCGGGGCTTGCTTGCATGGCGCACAGCATGTTGCGTGTCTGCCAAGAGGCAACTACATTGATTTGCAGCGTCATCGCTGCTGGTGTGTGCTTTGGCGCCGTTGTCAGGCCATTTCCATGCTGCAAGCGGCATCTTGCAAACGTGCTGTGCATTGTGTCCAGGTTGCACATCACAAATGCGTATTGACGCTGAAAACTAGAGCTTTTGGATTGTCCAAAATGTGAGGGTCGAATCGCAATTTCCATGGACCCGGGAGGCTCAGCCCCTGGACATGGCAGGGGTCTGTCCAGAGTGAGGCAAGGGACATGCCAAGACGGGCCACAATTCATTCATCTGTGAGTGATTGTTAGGACCTGGCATTTTTTCTTGGGGATAGTCCTAACCCAAACGATGCGGTGTGTGTATGTGTGTGTGTGCCCGTGTTTCATTGGGTCTTCATTTTAAGGACCCAAAACCGCAGCCTTGCGGCAAGGACACTCTGACGGTCACCAGAAGCTTGGGGTTCAGCCCAGGCCCGGTTCCTTGGATATCGGTGCCGCCTGTGTCACTTTGCTTCATATAGTTTCACATCTTGTGGGTGTGTTTCTATCATAAGCTTTCATACGGGTCGGGTGTGTTCAACGAGCTGCATGACATGATTATTCTCAATCAGCCGTTGCAAACAGGGAAATTAATGCACCGATGGCCCGTGTCAAGGCCTGGGAAACTTCAGTGGGAAGCAGAATGTGGCAGTAGAGCCACGTTTACACAGTCTACTCCAGGACTCGTGAGCAGACTCAGTTCGCGTTGTTTCCACATCACATGGGACATGTTGAACTTTTGAAAGGGGAATCCAGTGAACGGAAATCCAGTGACAGCAGGAGAGCCAGCTTGGTGACCTTCGCAGTTTCACCTTTTTTCCTGGCTCCTTGGCGCTCTCTTCTGGATTTTGCACCTACATGCTTCTCAACAAGCAAAGGTTTCTTCCGCCAGACGACGGAGTTTGTCAACAAGACGGACCCCGTGCAATCGGAAGGCCCGCACAAGCCACAGTTTGCGTGTTTCTGTAGCCTGATTGTGGGAAAGGTGCCGAGCAGCTACTCGATGAATTTGTTGACCTCGGCAGAAAGTTGCAAGCTGCTTGGATTGCAAGATGCTGTGTGGATAATCCAAGGTTCCATGACCATAATTAAGCAGGAAGGTCGCCTGTGCCATTCAGGAAAACCTTTGTTTGCAAGCAACAACAAGCACGCTGCAAGACCTGCTGCCAGATTCGACACCAAAAGATTCCTTGGAGCTGCTTCCACTGTTTCTTACTGCATACCTTGCATGGTGAGGTAGCCACCACGACCACAATTACATCCACGCAATGCCCTCAGCTTGCTAAAGTGGTTCTTTATGTTCCCTTATGCAGAAGTGGATGTCCTCTCATGCACCATTATGATGGGCATCATGGCCGCTCAAGGTCGTCCTCCACGAGCTCATCCAGCACTAGCTCAAGCTCTACGAGCAGCACGAGCAGAAGCACAAGCAGCAGCACAAGCACATCCAGCACCAGCACCACCAGCTCGAGCAGCTCCACCAGCACGTCCACCACAACAAGCAGCAGCACGAGCAGCGGCACCAGCACATCCAGTAGCAGCACCTCCAGCACCAGCAGCTCGTCCACGTCAACATCTTCCAGCACAACCTCTTCCACCAGCACCTCCTCCAGCAGCACAAGCTCCACGTCAACGAGCAGCAGCTCCACATCCAGCACGTTGAGCAGCACTTCATCCACCAGCAGCAGCACCAGCACCACCAGCTCGAGCAGCTCCACCAGCACCTCCACCACAACCAGCAGCAGCACAACCAGCAGCAGCACGAGCAGCAGCACCAGCACCTCCAGCACCAGCAGCTCGTCCACGTCAACATCTAGCACGACCTCCTCCACCAGCACCTCCTCCAGTAGCACAAGCTCGACATCAACCAGCAGCAGCTCCACGTCAAGCACTACGAGCAGCACTTCATCCACCAGTACGTCCAGCACCAGCAGCAGCACGAGCACCACCAGCTCGAGCAGCTCCACCAGCACATCCACTACAACCAGCAGCAGCACAACCAGCAGCAGCACGAGCAGCAGCACCAGCACCTCCAGCACCAGCAGCTCGTCCACGTCAACATCTTCCAGCACAACCTCCTCCTCCAGTACCTCCTCCAGCAGCACAAGCTCGACATCAACGAGCAGCAGCTCCACGTCAAGCACGACAAGCAGCACTTCATCCACCAGCTCGTCCAGCACCAGCACGTCCAGCACCAGCAGCACCAGCACCACCAGCTCGAGCAGCTCCACCAGCACGTCCACAACAACCACCAGCAGCACGAGCAGCAGGACAAGCACATCCAGCACCAGCAGCTCGTCCACGTCAACATCTTCGAGCTCAACCTCCACCAGCACCTCCTCCAGCAGCACAAGCTCAACATCAACCAGCAGCAGCTCCTCATCCAGCACGACGAGCAGCACATCATCGACCAGCACATCTAGCACCAGCAGCAGCACGAGCACCACCAGCTCGAGCAGCTCCACCAGCACGTCCACTACAACCAGCAGCAGCACAACCAGCAGCAGCACGAGCAGCAGCACCAGCACCTCCAGCACCAGCAGCTCGTCTACGTCAACATCTTCGAGCTCAACCTCATCCACCAGCACCTCCTCCAGCAGCACAAGCTCGACATCAACCAGCAGCAGCTCCACGTCAAGCACGACAAGCAGCACTTCATCCACCAGCTCGTCCAGCACCAGCAGCAGCACAAGCACCACCAGCTCGAGCAGTTCCACCAGCACGTCGACCACAACCACCAGCAGCACGAGCAGCAGCACCAGCACATCCAGCACCAGCAGCTCGTCCACGTCAACATCTTCCAGTACAACCTCATCCACCAGCACCTCCTCCAGCAGCACAAGCTCAACATCAACCAGCAGCAGCTCCACATCCAGCACGTCTAGCAGCACTTCATCCACTAGCAGCAGCACAAGCACCACCAGCTCGAGCAGCTCCACCAGCACGTCCACCACAACCAGCAGCAGCACGAGCAGCAGCACCAGCACATCCAGCACCAGCAGCTCGTCCACGTCAACATCTTCCAGTACAACCTCATCCACCAGCACCTCCTCCAGCAGCACAAGCTCAACATCAACCAGCAGCAGCTCCACATCCAGCACGTCTAGCAGCACTTCATCCACTAGCAGCAGCACAAGCACCACCAGCTCGAGCAGCTCCACCAGCACGTCCACCACAACCAGCAGCAGCACGAGCAGCAGCACCAGCACATCCAGCACCAGCAGCTCGTCCACGTCAACATCTTCCAGTACAACCTCATCCACCAGCACCTCCTCCAGCAGCACAAGCTCGACATCAACGAGCAGCAGCTCCACGTCCAGCACGACGAGCAGCACTTCATCCACCAGCACGTCCAGCACCAGCAGCAGCATGAGCACCACCAGCTCGAGCAGCTCCACAACCACCAGCAGCACGAGCAGCAGCACAAGCACATCCAGCACCAGCACGTCCAGCACCAGCAGCTCGTCCACATCCACATCTTCCAGCACGACCTCCTGCACCAGCACCTCCTCCAGCAGCACAAGCTCGACATCAACCAGCAGCAGCTCCACATCAAGCACTAGCTCCACTTCCAGCACAACCAGCACTACCTCATCCAGCAGCACGTCCAGCACCAGCAGCAGCACAAGCACCACCAGCTCGAGCAGCTCCAGCAGCACATCCACAACAAGCAGCAGCAGCACGAGCAGCAGCACCAGCACCTCCAGCACCAGCAGCTCGTCCACGTCAACATCTTCCAGCACAACCTCTTCCACCAGCACCTCCTCCAGCAGCACAAGCTCCACGTCAACGAGCAGCAGCTCCACATCCAGCACGTCGAGCAGCACTTCATCCACCAGCAGCAGCACCAGCACCACCAGCTCGAGCAGCTCCACCAGCACGTCCACCACAACCAGCAGCAGCACGAGCAGCAGCACCAGCACCTCCAGCACCAGCAGCTCGTCCACGTCAACATCTTCCAGCACAACCTCATGCACCAGTACCTCCTCCAGCAGCACAAGCTCGACGTCAACCAGCAGCAGCTCCACGTCCAGCACGACGAGCAGCACTTCATCCACCAGCTCGTCCAGCACAAGCAGCAGCACGAGCACCACCAGCTCGAGCAGCTCCACCAGCACGTCCACAACAACCACCAGCAGCACGAGCAGCAGCACAAGCACATCCAGCACCAGCAGCTCGTCCACGTCAACATCTTCGAGCTCAACCTCATCCACCAGCACCTCCTCCAGCAGCACAAGCTCAACATCAACCAGCAGCAGCTCCACATCCAGCACGACGAGCAGCACGTCATCCACCAGCACATCTAGCACCAGCAGCAGCACGAGCACCACCAGCTCGAGCAGCTCCACCAGCACGTCCACCACCAGCAGCAGCAGCACAACCAGCAGCACAAGCACATCCAGCACCAGCAGCTCGTCCACGTCAACATCTTCCAGCACAACCTCCTCCTCCAGCACATCCTCGAGCAGCACAAGCTCGACATCAACGAGCAGCAGCTCCACGTCCAGCACGACGAGCAGCACCTCATCCACAAGCACTTCATCCACGAGTACCTCCAGCACCAGCAGCAGCACGAGCACCACTAGCTCGAGCAGCTCCACCAGCACGTCCACCACAACCAGCAGCAGCACAACAAGCAGCAGCACGAGCAGCAGCACCAGCACCTCCAGCACCAGCAGCTCGTCCACGTCAACATCTTCCAGCACAACCTCATCCACAAGTACCTCATCAAGCAGCACAAGCTCAACATCCACCAGCAGCAGCTCCACGTCCAGCACGACGAGCAGCACTTCATCCACCAGTACGTCCAGCACAAGCAGCAGTACGAGCACCACCAGCTCGAGCAGCTCCACCAGCACGTCCACCACAACCAGCAGCAGCACGAGCAGCAGCACCAGCACCTCCAGCACCAGCAGCTCGTCCACGTCAACATCTTCCAGCACAACCTCCTCCACCAGCACCTCCTCCAGCAGCACAAGCTCGACATCAACCAGCAGCAGCTCCACGTCCAGCACGACGAGCAGCACTTCATCCACCAGTACGTCCAGCACCAGCAGCAGCACGAGCACCACCAGCTCGAGCAGCTCCACCAGCACATCCACTACAACCAGCAGCAGCACAACCAGCAGCAGCACGAGCAGCAGCACCAGCACCTCCAGCACCAGCAGCTCGTCCACGTCAACATCTTCCAGCACAACTTCCTCCTCCAGTACCTCCTCCAGCAGCACAAGCTCGACATCAACGAGCAGCAGCTCCACGTCCAGCACGACGAGCAGCACTTCATCCACCAGCACGTCCAGCACAAGCAGCAGCACGAGCACCACCAGCTCGAGCAGCTCCACCAGCACATCCACAACAACCACCAGCAGCACAAGCAGCAGCTCAAGCACATCCAGCACCAGCAGCTCGTCCACGTCAACATCTTCGAGCTCAACCTCCTCCACCAGCACCTCCTCCAGCAGCACAAGCTCAACATCAACGAGCAGCAGCTCCACATCCAGCACGACGAGCAGCACGTCATCCACCAGCACATCTAGCACCAGCAGCAGTACGAGCACCACCAGCTCGAGCAGCTCCACCAGCACGTCCACCACAACCAGCAGCAGCACAACCAGCAGCAGCACGAGCAGCAGCACCAGCACCTCCAGCACCAGCAGCTCGTCCACGTCAACATCCTCCAGCACAACCTCCTCCACCAGCACCTCCTCCAGCAGCACAAGCTCGACATCAACCAGCAGCAGCTCCACGTCCAGCACGACGAGCAGCACGTCATCCACCAGTACGTCCAGCACCAGCAGCAGCACGAGCACCACCAGCTCGAGCAGCTCCACCAGCACATCCACCACAACCAGCAGCAGCACGAGCAGTAGCACCAGCACATCCAGCACCAGCAGCTCGTCCACGTCAACATCTTCCAGCACCACCTCCTCCTCCAGCACATCCTCCAGCAGCACAAGCTCGACATCAACGAGCAGCAGCTCCACGTCCAGCACATCGAGCAGCACTTCATCCACCAGTACATCTAGCACCAGCAGCAGCACGAGCACCACCAGCTCGAGCAGCTCCACCAGCACTTCAACCACAACCAGCAGCAGCACGAGCAGCAGCACCAGCACATCCAGCACCAGCAGCTCATCCACGTCAACATCTTCCAGCACAACCTCCTCCACCAGCACCTCGTCAAGCAGCACAAGCTCAACATCCACCAGCAGCAGCTCCACGTCCAGCACGACGAGCAGCACTTCATCCACCAGTACGTCCAGCACTAGCAGCAGCACGAGCACCACCAGCTCGAGCAGCTCCACCAGCACGTCCACCACAACCAGCAGCAGCACGAGCAGCAGCACCAGCACATCCAGCACCAGCAGCTCATCCACGTCAACATCTTCCAGCACAACCTCCTCCAGCAGCACAAGCTCGACATCAACCAGCAGCTCATCCACATCCAGCACGACGAGCAGCACGTCATCCACCAGCACATCTAGCACCAGCAGCAGCACGAGCACCACCAGCTCGAGCAGCTCCACCAGCACTTCAACCACAACCAGCAGCAGCACGAGCAGCAGCACCAGCACATCCAGCACCAGCAGCTCATCCACGTCAACATCTTCCAGCACAACCTCCTCCACCAGCACCTCCTCCAGCAGCACAAGCTCGACATCCACCAGCAGCAGCTCCACGTCCAGCACGACGAGCAGCTCTTCATCCACAAGTACGTCCAGCACCAGCAGCAGCACGAGCACCACCAGCTCGAGCAGCTCCACCAGCACGTCCACCACAACCAGCAGCAGCACGAGCAGTAGCACCAGCACATCCAGCACCAGCAGCTCGTCCACGTCAACATCTTCCAGCACAACCTCCTCCACCAGCACCTCCTCCAGTAGCACAAGCTCGACATCAACGAGCAGCAGCTCCACGTCCAGCACGACGAGCAGCACTTCATCCACCAGTACGTCCAGCACCAGCAGCAGCACGAGCACCACCAGCTCGAGCAGCTCCACCAGCACTTCAACCACAACCAGCAGCAGCACGAGCAGTAGCACCAGCACATCCAGCACCAGCAGCTCATCCACGTCAACATCTTCCAGCACAACCTCCTCCACCAGCACCTCGTCAAGCAGCACAAGCTCAACATCCACCAGCAGCAGCTCCACGTCCAGCACGACGAGCAGCACTTCATCCACCAGCACGTCTAGCACCAGCAGCAGCACGAGCACCACCAGCTCGAGCAGCTCCACCAGCACGTCCACCACAACCAGCAGCAGCACAACCAGCAGCAGCACCAGCAGCAGCACCAGCACCTCCAGCACCAGCAGCTCGTCCACGTCAACATCTTCCAGCACAACCTCATCCACCAGTACCTCCTCCAGCAGCACAAGCTCGACATCAACGAGCAGCAGCTCTACGTCCAGCACGACGAGCAGCACTTCATCCACCAGCACGTCCAGCACCAGCAGCAGCACGAGCACCACCAGCTCGAGCAGCTCCACCAGCACTTCAACCACAACCAGCAGCAGCACGAGCAGCAGCACCAGCACATCCAGCACCAGCAGCTCATCCACGTCAACATCTTCCAGCACAACTTCCTCCACCAGCACCTCCTCCAGCAGCACAAGCTCGACATCAACCAGCAGCAGCTCCACGTCCAGCACGACAAGCAGCACTTCATCCACAAGCACCTCCAGCACCAGCAGCAGCACGAGCACCACCAGCTCGAGCAGCTCCACCAGCACGTCCACCACAACCAGCAGCAGCACGAGCAGCAGCACCAGCACATCCAGCACCAGCAGCTCATCCACGTCAACATCTTCCAGCACAACCTCCTCCACCAGCACCTCCTCCAGCAGCACAAGCTCGACGACAACCAGCAGCTCATCCACCAGTACGTCCAGCACTAGCACGTCCAGCAGTAGCACGTCCAGCACCAGCAGCAGCACGAGCACCACCAGCTCGAGCAGCTCCACCAGCACGTCCACCACAACCAGCAGCAGCACGAGCAGCAGCACCAGCACATCCAGCACCAGCAGCTCATCCACGTCAACATCTTCCAGCACAACCTCCTCCACCAGCACCTCCTCCAGCAGCACAAGCTCGACGACAACCAGCAGCTCATCCACCAGTACGTCCAGCACTAGCACGTCCAGCAGTAGCACGTCCAGCACCAGCAGCAGCACGAGCACCACCAGCTCAAGCACGTCTACTAGCACATCAAGCAGCACCTCATCAACATCCTCAAGCTCCAGTAGCACAACCAGCACCACTTCATCTACCTCCACGTCCACGTCAACATCATCGACCACTTCGACCACTTCGACCACTCCAGCTCTACTAGTAGTACGTCAACCTCCAGCACATCCAGCAGCACAAGCAGCACGACTTCCACAAGTTCCAGCACCACAAGCTCCAGCTCTACAACCACAAGCACGTCGACAAGCAGCAGCACCAGCACATCAACATCAAGCAGCACCTCGACAACATCAAGCTCGACTTCCACATCCAGCTCTACTAGTAGTACGTCAACCTCCAGCACATCCAGCAGCACAAGCAGCACGACTTCCACAAGTTCCAGCACCACAAGCTCCAGCTCTACAACCACAAGCACGTCGACAAGCAGCAGCACCAGCACATCAACATCAAGCAGCACCTCGACAACATCAAGCTCGACTTCCACATCCAGCTCGACAACTAGCACCTCATCAACCAGCTCATCAAGCAGCACAAGCAGCACAACTTCCACAAGTTCCAGCACCACAAGCTCCAGCTCTACAACCACAAGCTCGACCACCAGCAGCAGCACCAGCACGTCAACGTCAAGCAGCACCTCGACAACATCAAGCTCGACTTCTACATCCAGCTCCACAACTAGCACCTCATCAACCAGCTCATCAAGCACGTCCACATCGACGACGACAACCACGTCCAGCAGCACGACCACGTCAAGCACTAGCAGCACATCTACCTCCACCTCTTCTAGCACGTCGTCTTCAACTAGCACGTCGACAAGCAGCACAAGCTCGACATCAACAAGCACATCTTCCACGTCCACTACGTCTAGCACATCTACCTCTACAAGCAGCTCCAGCACGAGCAGCAGCACATCCACGACCAGCTCAACAAGCACCTCTACAACAACAACAAGTAGCACATCAACATCGACCAGCACAAGCAGCACTACAAGCACAAGCAGCACCTCCACCTCCTCCTCCTCCACTACAACATCTTCCACCACGACGAGCACATCATCCACTAGTAGCAGTACAACATCAACGTCCTCCACAAGCACATCAAGCAGCAGCACAAGCAGCAGCACCACAAGCACCTCATCGACCAGCAGCAGCTCCACCTCCACAACCTCCAGCTCAACGACGTCCAGTAGCACCTCATCTAGCAGCACAAGCAGCACCTCCACATCCAGCTCTTCCACAAGCAGCTCGTCCACAAGCAGCAGTACTTCCACCACAACATCCACGAGCACAAGCAGCACAAGCTCAAGTAGTACCTCCACCTCATCAAGCTCAACCAGCAGCAGCACCACAAGCACGTCATCCACCAGCAGCAGCTCCACCTCCACAACCTCCAGCTCAACGACGTCCAGTAGCACCTCATCTAGCAGCACAAGCAGCACCTCCACATCCAGCTCTTCCACAAGCAGCTCGTCCACAAGCAGCAGTACTTCCACCACAACATCCACGAGCACAAGCAGCACAAGCTCAAGTAGTACCTCCACCTCATCAAGCTCAACCAGCAGCAGCACCACAAGCACGTCATCCACCAGCAGCAGCTCCACCTCCACAACCTCCAGCTCAACAACATCCAGTAGCACCTCATCCAGCAGCACAAGCAGCACGTCCACATCCAGCTCTTCCACAAGCAGCTCGTCCACAAGCAGCAGTACTTCCACCACAACATCCACAAGCTCAAGCAGCACAAGCTCAAGTAGTACCTCGACCACATCAAGCTCAACCAGCAGCAGCACCACAAGCACGTCGTCCACCAGCAGCAGCTCCACCTCCACAACCTCCAGCTCAACAACATCTAGTAGCACCTCATCCAGCAGCACAAGCAGCACGTCCACATCCAGCTCTTCCACAAGCAGCTCGTCCACAAGCAGCAGTACTTCCACCACAACATCCACAAGCTCAAGCAGCACAAGCTCAAGTAGTACCTCGACCACATCAAGCTCAACCAGCAGCAGCACCACAAGCACGTCGTCCACCAGCAGCAGCTCCACCTCCACAACCTCCAGCTCAACAACATCCAGTAGCACCTCATCCAGCAGCACAAGCAGCACGTCCACATCCAGCTCGTCCACAAGCAGCTCGTCCACAAGCACTAGCTCAACCTCTAGCTCGTCTACCAGCACTTCATCCACCAGCAGCAGCTCGACCTCAACATCATCCAGCAGCACAAGCAGCACGTCCACATCCAGCTCTTCGACAAGCAGCTCGTCCACAAGCAGCAGTACTTCCACCACAACATCCACCAGCACAAGCAGCACAAGCTCAAGTAGTACCTCCACTTCATCAAGCTCAACCAGCAGCAGCACCACAAGCACGTCATCCACCAGCAGCAGCTCGACCTCCACAACCTCCAGCTCATCAACATCCAGTAGCACCTCATCCAGTAGCACCTCATCCAGCAGCACAAGCAGCTCGTCCACAAGCAGCTCGTCCACAAGCAGCTCGTCCACAAGCACTACCTCAACCTCTAGCTCGTCTACCAGCACTTCATCCACCAGCAGCAGTTCGACCTCAACATCATCCAGCAGCACAAGCAGCACGTCAACATCCAGCTCGTCCACAAGCAGCTCGTCCACGAGCAGCAGTACTTCCACCACAACATCCACGAGCACAAGCAGCACAAGCTCAAGTAGCACCTCCACCTCATCAAGCTCAACCAGCAGCAGCACTACAAGCACGTCATCCACAAGCAGCAGCTCCACCTCCACAACCTCCAGCTCAACCACGTCCAGTAGCACCTCATCCAGCAGCACAAGCAGCACGTCCACAAGCAGCTCGTCCACAAGCAGCACGTCTACAAGCAGCTCGTCCACAAGCACTACCTCAACCTCTAGCTCATCTACCAGCACTTCATCCACCAGCAGCAGCTCGACCTCAACGTCATCCAGCAGCACAAGCAGCACGTCAACATCCAGCTCGTCCACAAGCAGCTCGTCCACAAGCAGCAGTACTTCATCCACAACATCCACCAGCACAAGCAGCACAAGCTCAAGTAGTACCTCCACCTCATCAAGCTCAACCAGCAGCAGCACCACAAGCACGTCATCCACCAGCAGCAGCTCCACCTCCACAACCTCCAGCTCAACAACATCGACGAGTACCTCATCCAGCAGCACAAGCAGCACGTCCACAAGCAGCTCGTCCACAAGCAGCACGTCCACAAGCACTACCTCAACCTCTAGCTCGTCTACCAGCACTTCATCCACCAGCAGCAGCTCGACCTCAACATCATCCAGCAGCACAAGCAGCACGTCAACATCCAGCTCGTCCACAAGCAGCTCGTCCACGAGCAGCAGTACTTCCACCACAACATCCACGAGCACAAGCAGCACAAGCTCAAGTAGTACCTCCACCTCATCAAGCTCAACCAGCAGCAGCACCACAAGCACGTCATCCACCAGCAGCAGCTCCACCTCCACGACCTCCAGCTCAACGACGTCCAGTAGCACCTCATCCAGCAGCACAAGCAGCACGTCCACATCCAGCACAAGCAGCTCGTCCACAAGCACTACCTCTACCTCTAGCTCGTCTACCAGCACTTCATCCACCAGCAGCAGCTCGACCTCAACATCATCCAGCAGCACAAGCAGCACGTCAACATCCAGCTCGTCCACAAGCAGCTCGTCCACGAGCAGCAGTACTTCCACCACAACATCCACGAGCACAAGCAGCACAAGCTCAAGTAGTACCTCCACCTCATCAAGCTCAACCAGCAGCAGCACCACAAGCACGTCATCCACCAGCAGCAGCTCCACCTCCACAACCTCTAGCTCAACGACATCCAGTAGCACCTCATCCAGCAGCACAAGCAGCACGTCCACAAGCAGCTCGTCCACAAGCACTACCTCTACCTCTAGCTCGTCTACCAGCACTTCATCCACCAGCAGCAGCTCGACCTCAACATCATCCAGCAGCACAAGCAGCACGTCAACATCCAGCTCGTCCACAAGCAGCTCGTCCACAAGCAGCAGTACTTCCACCACAACATCCACCAGCACAAGCAGCACAAGCTCAAGTAGTACCTCGACCTCATCAAGCTCAACCAGCAGCAGCACAACCAGCACTTCGTCCACCAGCAGCAGCTCAACCTCCACAACCTCCAGCTCTACGACGTCCAGTAGCACCTCATCCAGCAGCACAAGCAGCACGTCCACATCCAGCTCGTCCACAAGCAGCACGTCCACATCCAGCTCGTCCACAAGCAGCTCGTCCACAAGCAGCTCGTCCACAAGCAGCAGTACTTCCACCACAACATCCACGAGCACAAGCAGCACAAGCTCCAGTAGTACCTCCACCTCATCAAGCTCAACCAGCAGCAGCACCACAAGCACGTCATCCACCAGCAGCAGCTCCACCTCCACAACCTCCAGCTCAACGACGTCCAGTAGCACCTCATCCAGCAGCACAAGCAGCACGTCCACATCCAGCTCGTCCACAAGCAGCACGTCCACAAGCAGCTCGTCCACAAGCAGCTCGTCCACAAGCACTAGCTCAACCTCTAGTTCGTCTACCAGCACTTCATCCACCAGCAGCAGCTCAACTTCCACATCATCCAGCAGCACAAGCAGCACGTCCACTTCCAGCTCGTCCACAAGCAGCTCGTCCACAAGCAGCAGTACTTCTACCACAACATCCACCAGCACAAGCAGCACAAGCTCAAGTAGTACCTCCACCTCATCAAGCTCAACCAGCAGCAGCACCACAAGCACGTCATCCACCAGCAGCAGCTCCACCTCCACAACCTCCAGCTCAACGACATCCAGTAGCACCTCATCCAGCAGCACAAGCAGCACCTCCACATCCAGCTCTTCCACAAGCAGCTCGTCCACAAGCAGCAGCACTTCCACCACAACATCCACCAGCACAAGCAGCACAAGCTCCAGTAGTACCTCCACCTCATCAAGCTCCACCAGCAGCAGCACCACAAGCACGTCATCCACCAGCAGCAGCAGCACCTCCACAACCTCTAGCTCAACGACATCCAGTAGCACCTCATCCAGCAGCACAAGCAGCACCTCCACATCCAGCACGTCCACAAGCAGCACGTCCACAAGCAGCTCGTCCACAAGCAGCTCGTCCACAAGCAGCAGTACTTCTACCACAACATCCACCAGCACAAGCAGCACAAGCTCAAGTAGTACCTCCACCTCATCAAGCTCAACCAGCAGCAGCACCACAAGCACGTCATCCACCAGCAGCAGCTCCACCTCCACAACCTCCAGCTCAACGACGTCCAGTAGCACCTCATCCAGCAGCACAAGCAGCACCTCCACATCCAGCTCTTCCACAAGCAGCTCGTCCACAAGCAGCAGTACTTCATCCACAACATCCACCAGCACAAGCAGCACAAGCTCCAGTAGTACCTCGACCTCATCAAGCTCAACCAGCAGCAGCACAACCAGCACGTCGTCCACCAGCAGCAGCTCCACCTCCACAACCTCCAGCTCAACAACATCGACTAGCACGTCGTCCACGTCCAGCTCTTCGACAAGCAGCACGTCCACATCCAGCTCGTCCACAAGCACTACCTCCAGCTCAAGCTCGTCCACGAGCACTTCGTCTTCCAGCACGTCGTCAACAAGCAGCAGCAGCTCTACTACGACGTCTAGCAGCACTAGCACATCGTCCACGACTTCAACGACCAGCACCACTTCAACCAGCAGCACATCCTCAACCACTAGCAGCAGCACATCCACATCAACAACTTCCAGTACAACGTCAGTCTGCCTGGCGTACTTTTGTTTTTGTAATCGAGGCTTGTTCAACCTTGTCAAGCGTTGGACATATCGCAAATTTGGGCATTATGGGAACCTAACATAACCTCACCTGCAGGCAATGCTTAGTCGGGGAGGCCCGGGCTTGACCCCCCAACCTGATGCCAAGGCGATTTTTTTTGTTTTTTTAATGAAGGGCCAACTGTCTGACAAGCGTGGGGGCAAGCAGCGCAGCATGCCACACTCCCAACAATATAGCTATCTTAGCCTGAGTAGCAAGACACGTCCGCACATGCCAGTCATCAACATCATCGAGCACATCCAGCACAACCACAAGCTCAACCACCTCCACATCAACTACTTCGAGCAGCTCAACCACCTCCAGCACTTCTAGCACGTCCAGCACGAGCTCGTCGAGCAGCACAACATCCTCCAGCAGTACCAGCACAACCTCCACATCCACAAGCACAAGCAGCACAACAACAAGCTCGACCAGCACCAGCAGCACAACCAGCTCATCAACATCCTCTTCAACCACAAGCTCCAGCACCACGTCAACGAGCACATCAAGTAGCACCACAACATCGTCCACAACATCCTCCAGCACCAGCACATCTACAAGCACCTCGTCGTCAAGCACGACGTCTAGCTCCAGCTCTACCACATCAACAACCTCCAGCAGCACATCCTCCAGTTCCACCAGCACATCCACCTCGACCAGCAGCACGTCAACAACAACATCGACATCCAGCACCACGACAAGCACAACAAGCACGTCCACATCTTCCACTACGTCCACAAGCAGCAGCTCGTCTACCACATCCACATCCACTACTTCGAGCAGCTCAACCACCTCCAGCACTTCCAGCACGTCCAGCACAAGCTCGTCGAGCAGCACAACATCCTCCAGCAGTACCAGCACAACCTCCACATCCACAAGCACAAGCAGCACAACAACAAGCTCCACCAGCACTAGCAGCACAACCAGCTCATCAACATCCTCTTCAACCACAAGCTCCAGCACCACGTCAACGAGCACATCAAGTAGCACCACAACATCGTCCACAACATCCTCCAGCACCAGCACATCTACAAGCACCTCGTCGTCAAGCACGACATCTAGCTCCAGCTCCACCACATCAACAACCTCCAGCAGCACATCCTCCAGTTCCACCAGCACATCCACCTCGACCAGCAGCACTTCAACAACAACATCGACATCCAGCACCACGACAAGCACCACAAGCTCGTCCACATCTTCCAGTACGTCCACAAGCAGCAGCTCGTCTACCACATCCACATCAACTACTTCGAGCAGCTCAACCACCTCCAGCACTTCTAGCACGTCCAGCACGAGCTCGTCGAGCAGCACAACATCCTCCAGCAGTACCAGCACAACCTCCACATCCACAAGCACAAGCAGCACAACAACAAGCTCGACCAGCACCAGCAGCACAACCAGCTCATCAACATCCTCTTCAACCACAAGCTCCAGCACCACGTCAACGAGCACATCAAGTAGCACCACAACATCGTCCACAACATCCTCCAGCACCAGCACATCTACAAGCACCTCGTTGTCAAGCACGACATCTAGCTCCAGCTCCACCACATCAACAACCTCCAGCAGCACATCCTCCAGTTCCACCAGCACATCCACCTCGACCAGCAGCACTTCAACAACAACATCGACATCCAGCACCACGACAAGCACCACAAGCTCGTCCACATCTTCCAGTACGTCTACAAGCAGCAGCTCGTCTACCACATCCACATCAACTACTTCGAGCAGCTCAACCACCTCCAGCACTTCTAGCACGTCCAGCACGAGCTCGTCGAGCAGCACAACATCCTCCAGCAGTACCAGCACAACCTCCACATCCACAAGCACAAGCAGCACAACAACAAGCTCCACCAGCACCAGCAGCACAACCAGCTCATCGACATCCTCTTCAACCACAAGCTCCAGCACCACGTCAACGAGCACATCAAGTAGCACCACAACATCGTCCACAACATCCTCCAGCACCAGCACATCTACAAGCACCTCGTCGTCAAGCACGACATCTAGCTCCAGCTCCACCACATCAACAACCTCCAGCAGCACATCCTCCAGTTCCACCAGCACATCCACCTCGACCAGCAGCACTTCAACAACAACATCGACATCCAGCACCACGACAAGCACCACAACCTCATCTAGCAGTACCAGTTCGTGGGGGACTTAGAAGTTGGCATGGGTTAGCTGGCAGTATTTTGGGGCCGGGCCCTACTGAACTAAGGACTTCAACGTCAACCAGCAGTACAGTCTCTCGGCACGACCTGTGCTTCAGCTTGGATGATACGCCTCCGGCACAAACTTGTCATTTGAGGGCTTCGGAATCGGTGTGTGTGTGACCATTGCGTTGTCTCACGGATGCAGTTTGACATGTTGATGATGTTTATGCTTTGGCCAGACGAGCACGACAACTAGTACATCCAGCACCAGCAGCTCAAGCAGTAGCACCCTGGTTCGGCAAAGGTTTGACATGCCCTGGTTTGCATTCCTCTTGGTTCTGTATGTTTTTGAACGATGTAGCGATGCTCGAGTCGGATTCCTGGCAGACGCCTGGAATTGTGCAACATGATTGGGTTAATTAGTCAGCTGGGTGAGAGACCAGTAGGACCAGCAAGACTGATGGAGAGAGAGCGAGAGAGAGAGAGAGGCAGGGGGGGTGGAGGGAAGAGAGAGAGAGGGAGAGAGCGAGAGAGAGAGAGAGAGAGAGAGAGAGAGCGAGAGAGAGCATACATGGGTCGAGGCGCCATTGAAAAATCGAGGCTAAAGGTTGACAGCAAGAGGGATGGAGAGGCAAATGGAGAGAGACGAACAGCATTCCGTAAGTATCAATCGTTGTTGCAAACATCGAATGTTGTGAGGCGTTCGCACGAGCTGCCAGCGTTGCCGAGGTACAAGCACAACTCGCACTTCATCTTCAACATCTTCATCATCAAGCTCAACGCCGCTCAGCGCCCATAGAGACACCAAGGTTTGCAACTCTCGAGGCAATATGGCATGGGGAGCGGCGTTGCCGGCCCCAGGACAACTGCCACAACCTCATCATCAACGACCACATCAACCACTGCATCGAGGCAAATGGCTGGCTTTCACTTTGCGAGCCAAGCCAGGCTTCGAGAGTAGAACGGGGCGGCACTGTTTGGGAGGTCTAGCACAACGACGTCTACAACCTCAACAACGACGGTGGACATCATGGCCGCTGGGCTTGCATGTCAATGGCATCAACTCCCTTTGTGGTTTGCAGAGCTTGCATCTACATGGGCGCACCAAGGCCATGGCCGCGGGCGTCATGGACTTTACATTGGATGGAGGGGACGCAACGGGAGTCGAATCGGCAGCTGGCAAGGCCTTGGTGCCATGCTGCATTGGTTCGCTAGATTCGCAGACTTTAGACTTTGTGGTGACCCACGGCAAAACGCATTTTCAGAACGCACTTTGGAAAGGCCTCGGGTTTCTAAGGCAGGATGGTTCGGAGCAGCAGTACCTCATGTGCGCTCTGAAGTGCCGCTCTTAGTTCTGCACCGCCATCGGCCTTTTTGCAAGGCTTAAGCCAATCGCATGTGGGCTATGGGGGGGGTTTCCTTGTGGTTCTTGTGGTTGGCGTTCAAAGGGAAGGCATTTTCCGTAACCATGTTTGGGGGCCAAATCCCATGCCAAAACTTAGGCTTCCATTCTTCCATTCAACCAGCCAATGGACCAATGTCCTTGATTTTGCAACAGCTTGGGCTGCCTGTCCAGGCCACCTTCTCAGCAGGGTCGGGAAGACGATTGCAGCAGCTCCAGTGGAGCGTGTACTGGGAAGTCTTCGTCTATCTGCAGCAGAGCGCGGCGGCCACCCGGTCCGAAGGGGGAGGCTGAGGTGTTCACACGGGGGCAAAGCTTATCCAGCTGGTTGAAGTGTGCCGTAGGAACTCCGCAAGCTTTGTGGACTGCTGTCGGCTTGCATTATGGTTTGGTCATTTGGTTACCTGTTACCTATACTTAACATGCCCCCGGACCGTTCACATGAACGTTATGCGTGTGGCCCTCAGGGTTTACTGATCCGTTTGGGTGCCCCGCCTGACCCGTCGTCACACTCTGGGGAGCAAATTCGCGGCCCATGTTTGTTGACTCACCCCAAGAGGCCCAGTCGAATGCTGCAGATTTGCTTTGTCTTTTCCCTTTGGTCAGCGCTGAGGCAGACGCCGCAATCCAAGACTTGCAGCAGAATGTCGCTTCAGTGGAGCGATTCGCAGCAGATCTGCAGTCAGCGCGCCTCCGATGCGATTGGACGCGGTCGTGCCATCATGTGATCTTCGGCACGCGGTGATCCGAGGCTGGGCCTTGTAGGCCTTGCGGGCTTTGCCGGCTTCGGCTTCTCCGCGCTCTATGCACCCGTGGAGGCGTTGCACAGGGGCGCAAGCCGAGCGACTCGGGAAACGCTTGGGAACGCTGTTGGCGGACTCTGCCTGCTATTTCGTTGCTTTTTGAGTGCCCTTCCAGGGATGAATCCGCAAAGGGATTCCGCATCCAAGCCGTCGCGGTGTGGAAGTCGGAAAGTCGGGAAGCGAGTGCTCCGAAGGTGTCCATGACCCATCACTCCAGCTCAACGACTTCCTCAACAACCACATCTATGACAGTAACCTGCATGCATGGCAGCTGCTTGTTGAATGATGACGTGCTGTTCAGTCGAAATATCCAATAGCCCATCTTGGAGGGGCATGAGGAACTTTCCAAATTTCCTCACCAAACCAGGGGACACTCTAAGTTTCCTGTCCAGTAGGGTAACAGTAAGTTGTGGGCGTGGCTGGTGTGTGGCGTGTGATGCCCTAGGAAACATCCACCACCACCAGCAGCAGCACCTCAACCACCACCTCGCTGCATGGCAAGAGAAATGCCAGACAAGTGTGGCAGCCTTGTTTGAAGCCTGGTCCCTGGCGCCCCTGCGACATCTGGGAAGCCAAGCCGCTGGCACGGACACTTGGGCAACCGGTATTCTTGGAGACAGCCAAGTGTCAGGTTGTTCCCACTGCTGCTGGAGAGCGCAGAGCTGATGCAAGGATACTCTACGCAGCTTGCCAGAAGGCCACGCAAGTGGGTCCCTGATTTCGCTGCATTTGCGGCGCACGCGTGGCTTTGTTTCCATTTGATTCATTCCTTGTAGCCTTGACCTTGCCATCGACGGCCATTGAAGCTGGGCCCCTTGACGCAGTCTCAGGATAATGCTGACGTTCAATGAGCGGGCGATCCTGACGGAAACGGCAATACGGCGCCTCCAAGGTGACGGCGCAGATGCACCGTCAGACACCGTTGACTGCGCTGCAGTCTTCACATCATCCACTCTGAGCAGGCTGCTTGGTGGCATTTCGTATGGCGAGTTGCTTTGCATTCCAGGCGTGGTGATGCATGGCTTGCACTTCTGACCCTGCTGAGGCTTGGATTCCTTCCTGCTTGCAGCTGGCTGGCTGATGGGCGAAACTTGATGATCGTTCTCGGGAGCAGCCCCACCGTAGAATTAGGCCGCTTAGCGACGCGGGAGCGTCGTTATGTTTATGTTTGCCTTTGCAGATGGATGTCTCTTTGTGTGTGTGTGTGCGCGCACAGCGGCTGCAACCCAACAAGGTGAGAACATCGAGACTTTGCCCGGCGCACTGACCACTAATCACTTCGTGGTGGACCTGCCGGTGGCACCCACGCCATCTTTGTATGGCAAAGTATTCAGCACGGAACCGGCCCCCCAGCCAGAAGCGGCCTCTTGGCATTCACGCTGATTCCGAAATCATTAAGAGGGGGCATAAAGGAAACCCCATGGTGCATGTGGGCATGGGTTGCGGGGGTAAATGGACAAAGGACTCCTGTTTCAGGAACAATTGAAAAAAAGTTTCAATTTGTTTCATGGGTATCAAGCCCCATTTCGTTGGGGGCCTGGGAAGGAAACTAAGATGAAGCTCCCTTGTTTCGACGTGTTCCTAAGTGGAAACAGGGCGGTGATGGGGTGACAGGGGGGATGGGTTGTTTTTGGTTGGGAGGGCCTGAAATGTTCCAGATCCGATTTGCATCCGAGTGACCCTTGATTCCCTAAAGTGTCCTTCTTTCAAAAGGCATGGCGCGCAACTGGAAGGGGCAGGGCGCCATGCTTCCTCCCCTGATGCTGAGGTGGTGCTTTCCTCACCCCAGAGGGTGCAGGCCTGCGGTAGGATTTCAGCGGCTCAGCAGCAAGTAGGCACTCCGCTGCTGGACTTATCAGCTATCAGCTATCAGCTTGTTGAGATGTTGAGAACTGAACACGTCGCGGTGTGGCGAGTTCTTAACCTTTTGGGTGAGTCTCACCTGTCTCATTCACTTGCACCTTTGAAAGGCAAGCCCACGCCGAGAGACGCCGATGTCGCAAAGCGGGGCTAGGTTTCCAGTGCTGGTTCCACTGGCGCTGGCGGACGCCCCTTCAAGGTGGGGGGCGTGGTGAGACAAAAAGAGCAACCAGTAGGTCAGTAGGTGGGTGTAGGGTGCCCTGGCTCTTGGCTGGTTTCAGATTCGCTAGTCGGACAAGGCGTTCCCATAGACCTTCCTGAAAAGCATAACCCCGAGCAAATCCGAGGAATTATCATGAAGGGGAGGTAGCAGGTGTTTTGTTTCTAAGGGGCTGGGCGGCATTTGCCAAGAGCGAGTGTGCTGGCATGAAGTTGATGCAGGCACACAGCCTGGGACTGGAACTCTGGCATCCAACACAACGTTTGATTGCCTTCGTCTGTGATGATTGTCTGTATTAATGTATTTATGTATGTACCAATGTATGTATGTAATGTATGTATGTATGTATGTATGTAATGTAATGTAATGTAATGTACTGTACTGTAATGTAATGTAATGTAATGTAATGTAATGTAATGTAATGTAATGTAATGTAATGTATCTATGTATGTAATGTAATGTAATGTAATGTATGTATGTATGTAATGTAATGTAATGTAATGTAATGTATGTATGTATGTATGTATGTATGTATGCATGTATGTATGTATGTAATGTATGTATGTATGTATGTAATGTAATGTATGTATGTATGTATGTATGTAATGTCATGTAATGTAATGTATGTATGTATGTAATGTAATGTAATGTAATGTAATGTAATGTAATGTAATGTAATGTAATGTAATGTAATGTATGTATGTATGTATGTATGTATGTATGTATGTAATGTATGTCTGTAT